CGACCGCGCATGGAACGAAATGGCACGCGCCGCAGCGCGCCTGGCAGCCGCGCGCCTTCTCTCTCACTTGCCAGTGCCAGGATGGGGAGCGGAGCTCGACCTACCATGGCACCAGCAGGCACTGAGGTGGATGTGGCTGGACTTCTCGGCCGTGGAGCGGCGCGCCCAGTTCCCGCCTGCCTCGGGCGCGCCACTTCGGCCGCCGCTTAGCGCCGAGATCTGTTTGCCAGATGGGCTACCTCAGCGCGTCGCAGGCCAGCGCGAGAAACTTGGCAGCTGCTCCAAGTTCTGGGTTGCCGCGGCCAGCGTTCTCACTCTACATCCCAGCATGTGGGCTCATCAACTAGACGACAGTGGTCCTGGTCCAGGTCGTATCATGCAGCTAGCAGGTAGCTTTGCAGCGCAGGACTGCTACATTGTTGGGGTCAAGGAAACCAGGTTGCAGGAGCACCAAAACTCAGTGTGTGGGGGAATGCGCAGTCTTCCACTCAGCAGCAACGCCAGCAGGTACAGAAGGATCCGCAGTGTGGATCAGTCAGCATATGGAATCTCTGCCAGGATGCACCATCAGTGAAGACATGTGCAGGGTCTTTCACGCTGAGCCAACAAGGCTTATCGTCCCTTTACGGGGGCCCGGGATTTCGCCCAATGTCATAGTGCTGCGCGCTCCGCACGCCAGAACAGGATGTGCAGCAAAACTATCGGGGGCGCGCTTGAAGGGGTGGTGGGCAGCCGCGGCCGCGCTGGTGCAGCAGGCGAGGCTCGGAGCAGAGCAGCTAATCGCGCTTGCGGAAGCGAATGCGGCGGTCGGCAGCGCATGCCCCAAATCAATTGGCTTTCAGGACAAGGAAACCCAGCGTCTCCCAGGGGCGCTCCCTCACGAGTGCCTCGCGGAAACAAACCAATGGGCACCTTCTACTATCGTGCCTTCCTCCACGGGGCGCTCAGGGGCAGCTCCCGCAGGAGATGCTTCAGCCGGGGGGAGGGACTACGTCATTGCCTCAAGCGACATAGCAGTCATAGAGCAGGGAGTGGAAGGCGCGATCGACCTCGCCGTTTCAAGTGGAGATCGCCAGGCAGCCAAGGCACTTGTCATGCCCCCACCCTCTGGGCACGTCCAAGGGCGCTCGGTGCCGCGCAGGGTCGCGCATGACCCTGCTTGTTCGATGACCCAGAGGCATGCGGCTGGTTTAAGAGGCTGCTTGCAGAGGTGCCGGCGGTGGAATGCGACGTGCGCAGCACGCATCACGCGCGCGTGCTTGATGCGCATGTTCGGGGGGCAATGCAACTGGCCTTCCCAGTGCGCAGGACGGAAAGCGGAGGGCAGCCGTGGCAGTGTTGGATGCAGAATGGCACGCTGGCAGCCATCGACCGTCGCACCGCGTTCCTACGACACGCGCGCGCACTCCGCGCGCAGGTCGCCGGGCTCTGCAACGTTATGTTATTATTCGTCTGGGCGCCCTGTGCGCGCCATGCTAGGCGCGTGGGCGTTTGCATGTTCTGCGGCCCACTACAGTGCGACCCCCCCTCCCCTGATAAAATGGTGGGGCATGTGGAAGGCAGCGCGGCGCGCGCAGGACTCGTCGGGACTCTCAGGGAATCGCTTCGACTCCAGCGCGCGAGCGCCACGACGCGCAAACCGGCCCAGTGGTTACATATTGCGCATGGAACACAAGCGGAGATTTATTCAGTGCCGGTTTTTGACTGCGCGACCCTGCACGGACGGGGCTTGTTTACTCGCGTGCATTGCGCGCGCAGACCGTCGTGCCTACTCTCAGGACGGGGCAGCAAGCAGGGAGTTTATGCAGTTTCACATCGCGTTCGTTGTGCGAATGAGTTCACAGGCTGACGCCGTGCAGTACTGTCGCTCACTAGTTAACCAGCTACTTCCACAATGGTCCAAGCACCACGCGGATAAGGCATTCGCTGCTCTACGACGAATAGGAGCCGGGACCAATACATGATGGTCAGTACTTATAGTCTGGCATCCCAGCGGCGCGCCAGCTTCAGACTCGACTGAGGCAGCCGACATCTGGCTCAGGAATTTTGACGGGGAGGAGCATTGTGCAGTTTTGTCCGATCGCACATGCCCAGGCAGCCCATGACATGCCCCCTCTTTCGCCAGATGCTGAGATCAACGGAGTGGCCCCAGAGGAAGCTTCTCTGCAAGCGCTCGCCCAGTGCCAGACCGCCTGCAAGAGGTCACGCGCCTCAGCTCCCAGCCTGGGCGGTATTTCGGGCAGAATGCTGGCCGAGTTCGGCGCTGGCATGGGTCGCATCTACGTTCCAGTATTCACTAAGGCTGCACTGCGCATACATGAGCCAGTACACTTGAAGGGAGGATGCCGCTGGGACATTTGGAAGCGAGGAGGAGGCCCGTCATGGCCAATCCACCCCAGATTTGTCATGAGTTTCCCACAGATTGGAAATAAGTTTCGCTCCCTACTGCACGCGCCCTTCGCAGACGCACTGCCGGAGCAAGCTGAACAGACGCGTCTCGGAGGAATTGCAGGCAAAGGGGTCGACCCGGCAGGGCTGGCATTCTGATCGCTCCAACCTTGCCGAAGTACAGAATGTTTCAATCATGTGTTT